TGATATTCCGTGGTTTATTTTGATTTTCGAAACAGTAAATCGCACAATAAGTCCAAACAATGCAGTGTCATCAACATAGCTCGTACAAAACTACATCCGTACGGTGACAAATATAGAGTTTTCTCTCATTATTTTCCTCGCATTCTCAGTCCAGTGTTGTGTAGCGGTGAAAATGTTTCCGCAGAGACTTGACAAAACATTTCGTATGGTCTAGTTATCCTGTTGGGACGATATACGACGTGGTCTGAATCCGGATTTATTTTAGTATTTGTTTTATGTACCTGCTGTGGACGAAGCTATAGCCAGCTTTTTTATGTACTGCCCTTAGTTACTACTTGTTCGTTACTTGTTGTTTAAGGTACCTGCGTTTTTAATGCTCAAATTAAATAATAATTAACGCTATTTTGGTCATAATCATGTCAGATCAATATGTATGAATGTCTTAAGAAAAAGTCATGTGTATGTTACTAACACGGCAATAAAGGCTATTAAATTAATTACAAAGCAAAATATGGAATGTTAACAATTACTATTGTATCTTAACAAATAGGTTATGATAATAATTAATTTGCAATATATTAATAATTCATAATGTGCATTTTATAACTTAAACGAATATTATGCTATGAAATTACAGCATGCAGCAGAACATAAAAACTCCAATCAGAACCAAATAACTCGTAAGCATATAGCCTATTCACCCCTTATTAGGGTAGGCTCCGAGCGCCTCGGTGGGGACGTATAGTGAGCTGGTGATGATGATGATGATACGTACTCAACTTCACCACATTAATACAATTATTGTTAAAGATACTTATTCTAGATATTCTCTAACTAATTCTCAGCCACAAGAAATTATTACGTAAAACTATTTACGCAGTTATCCCGTACATTTAGCATTAAATAAGAATATAAAATGAAGTTTTATTAAATGTGAAATGAGAATGTCGTTAACGGGAACAGCAAGGCTTGCTAAGCGCTATGCAATGCAGCCTGGCGATATGCATTGAATATTTTCTGGTCAAAGCAGTGCCCGCATTTCAAGTAGGTTTTATACGCGTGCTATTACGGCAGAGAGTCGGAGCTTGACCTAAAACTCTCTCCTTACATTTCTCACGATGAATTTCTATTTTTGTTATTATTCTTCAGGTGCCTTTTAAAGCAATATCTGCAGTACTGATGATGATGCGTTAAACTTTTACAGTTGCGGCAATATACAATTAAAGTTAAAATAATTTTTATACAAAAACACTTCCCCAGTCACACGGATGCTTCGCTTAATAATCTATTTATCGTTTTAATTATAAGTTAGATTAGAATTAGTTTGTTTACAAAATTTACAATTTAAAGAAATTTACCTAACGGGTGTGATCGATATCTCTACCTAAATTGTAAGTTGTATTTTGCAAGAAAACATGGATTTGTTGTTAGGATCTTGCAAAATCAAGCATATTCCTTTGTTATTATTCCTATTTGAGTGTGAAGGCGAGGATAGTCTACAAGGATTTGTCACACACCTCTCAGACATGCACATCCCATGATGTAGCCCATCATGGAGAGCCGCGGCGGCGTGGGCGGCAGCGGCGGGCGGCGCGCGGGCGCGGGAGGCGCGGGCGGCACGGCCGGCTGCTGGCGCCTGCCGCGCGGCGCCCCGCGCGACACCGCGCCGCCTTACAGCACGCGAGTGCTGGCCTCCGCACACCCGCTCACAACGACAACACTGGCACACAGCCCGACCGCGAGACACTCGGCCGTCGCATCCGGCCCCTTGCCGCGCCACATATCATAATACGTTTAACCCAATCGGCGATTCCTTAAGGCACTGCGGACGTGTGAACATTACACGCTACAACGAAAGGCACTATATTGTGCAATTTATCAGGTAAGTCGATTTGTAATCCGACAGTATTATCCTAATGCCCCAATTACTTATTCACATATATTTGCTGCGAAACTGCTGGAGTGCCGTGGGCACGCGGGCCGGTGCAGCGGGTGCGATCGCGTGTTGGTCGCGCGCTCGATCGATATGGCCCGTTAACTTCGCGCCTCGCAACTATGTACTAACAAATTGCTCCACAACCAAACACCGTAATTATTATTCTAAGATTACCAAATTCGTATATTACCTACGACGCTATTTAAAAAAAATAGTGCATGTATTTATTTTTTCCATTCTCATTTGGTTTAAATTGATTTGATTGATTTGATTAAACAATTTTATTATCTTTACTGTATGTCAGGATACATAGGACGTCTTCATCGTAAAAGGAATTCAAATTTTATATTTAGATACCAAATGCTATAAGAACTGCTTTCGGTCGATGTTTATTTGTGCGAACGCGTCTGAGGAGGATTTTATTGTGCTTATTGCAGACAAAAATACGAACAGTTTTTGAATGTGGTCGCGGTCTGTACCGTGGGTGTGCACGGTAGGAGCGGGCGAGTGGCGGGCGACGGCAATGCACGGGATGCATGCGGCGCGGCGGGTCGGTGGCGGTCGGAGCGCGGCGGGCGCGGGCGCGGGCGGGCCAGCACTGAGGCGCGCGCCGCACGCCGCCGGCTGCGCGCCGCCCGCCCCGCGCCTCTCCCGCCCCGCCCCGTACTCCCTCGCGAACACCCGCACCCGCAGTACTCTATATATCCTTCTCTCTACTGACACAGCCCTACTGCCGTCGCTGCCACCCTTAAGTATACTGCCAACTCGTTACCGACTCAGAGAATTACATATTTTCCCATAAGACATCCATAAAATCTTAGTCTTAAGATCTAAAAATTATTTGAATTGACTCAATTTTAATAGAAATAGCTTTTAAGCATTGTTTTTAACTTGGGCCGACTAACATGACACGGAAACGAACGTTTGATTCAAACGAAAATACAAGATAACAAATATGAAATGATCTAATTAAAATTAAAAGACACGTCACGTGCTACAAACGGAATATATTTGTGGCGAATGATAACAGACTCCACTGATAACCGACTGGTGTTATAATTAACAAATTTAATAGGCATCAAGTATCCGCGTGATTTGACGAGTGTGTGACGTCAATTGGGCAACGGCGCGGCGGCGGCCGATGGCGGCGCGCGGCAGGTCAACGCTCGCCGCTCGTCCTGCCGCTGCCAGTGCCAGGAAGCCGCTAATTCCCGCCACGCGTCGCTTTTCTCCACTCGTGAATACGACGCACGTTTCTCTTTTTCATTCTACACGCGACATATTTAGCTTTTTAGAATGTAAGTCCACGTCTTACCATCAAATTAAACCCGTTTAATTTAGTAATGAAAACCATAACTACCACAGTTCAATGATTGAGCGACTTATTCCTTTTTTTTTGCTTTTCGTTTAAAACAATTTTGTAAATTCATTTTTATTCGCATATCGGTTGCGATGATCCTTCTACAACCATTAAAAAGGATAGATGCAAATGGCAGTGGCATGGAATACGAAATTATTTTTATAACATAAAAACTCGTTTAATGGAGATACACGCGGACTAACGAAGAAGGGACTCGTCCTATTACCGTCGTCCTCGTCATTGGGGTGTTGATAAGCTCACTGGCTACAATAAAATTGGGCGACACACCGTGTCGGGTACATCAAAGGGCGGCCAAGCTTCCGCATGACCTGTTGATTCTACTTCAACACTCTTTTCGCTTGTAATCAAGCTCGATTGAAAATAAATTGGGTACCGATCTTATAATTTGCAGGGAAATTAATATAGCAATTATGTTTTTTCGTTGGTCAAATTTGATTTCCTCTCGTTATATTATATATATATTATTATTTTATGAATAATTATGAAAATATTGGGTCCACCTCACAGTATTTGTCTACTTTTTTAATATTAGCATATTTTTGTTAATTTACTAATATTTTCTTTAACCATTCCAAAAAGCTCTAAGCTTGTGCTAGGATTGGGTTCACGACAATAGTCGAATGGCGGGATTCGAACCCTTGACCGCAAGATCGGTAGTCCGTACCCAAAACCATTAGGCTATTGGCGCTTAATTTCAAAGTATTAAATGATTTTTTGGCATAAAAACCTGCCTTAGACATGCAGAACTAACATAAGTTATCTACTTGAACATGTATCTACTTGGATTGTGATCGTCATTAAAACAATCGTATGATGTCCTAGGTGATTCAAATAAATAGTCAACAGGGTTTAATGACCTAGGTTTCAAGTGAGTCGCGATCGTTATTCCGAGTGCTTAGTCGTTTCACCCTCCGTAACGTTGGTAGACGATCGATGCCCGTTCATTCATTATGCCTCAACATATGCAAATGTGCATACGTAAAATTTGCATACTACAAATTAAAAGGTGAAAAGATACGGAGGAACTAATTACTTTTCTGACGTATTGCAGAACTGCATATTTTACATCATCTTAAATATTGCATGCAGTAATAATGATAGCATTTACATTATATATGATAACGTTATACAGTTTATATTTAAAATTTGGTTGTCTGTAGAGATATTAACGGAAAAAATTGACATAAAAACTTTACAAACAACTACCCCGATTAGGTGGTACGTTTTGTTAGATGACTAATCCATTAATGCTACGAGTTCAAAAACTATATTTGATTATACATCAAGTGAAGTTTTGCATCTGTGATGTCGTTAACTCCAACCATTACCTATCTGTGACATCTACTACACAACTAACAATATCATGGATTTGCAATCTGAGTGCATTACAACAATCCGCGTAATACCCGCACACCTGGTACAATACTTGATTTATGGCTTCCTTTTTACATTGCTTTTGTTTTAAATACTTATTCCGTCTAGAGAAAGTGGGATTATTTACATAACAGTTACACAAGGAAACATAATGTTTCATTACTCAGACACTAAAATACAAATGATTTTGAAAGAGAGAAGGTATGAAGACCATGACCGGTCAAACAGATCATTCATCGTAAATAACCAACTGAGAGTAGCTACTATAAGATAAGTGCATTAAAATTAATAAGAAAAGTATTGACATACCTATGACATTGTTGTTCTGGTGGTGATGGTGCGCGGCGGCGGCAGCGGCGACGGCGGCCGCTAGCGCGGCGTGCTGCGCCTGCTGGGCCTGCTGAGCGAGCTGCGAGGCTAGCTGTGCCTGTAACGCCGCGTGCATGCTCGCTATGCCCCCTCCCCCGCCCCCGCCACCACCGCCAGGCTCACTCCGCGTCTCCTCGTTGTACTCGGTAGGCGCGTCCTCATCTACCAGCAGAATATATATGACCACTTGAAGTCTAAATAACTATTTTAATAAGATTTAAGTTATGGGACACGATAGGTCTTTTAACGTCTTAAAGTTTGATTATAAAACTAATCATCATGTTTGTCTATTACCTTCGGCATTTAATTCTTTTTGGTTTAGAATTGAGCTTTTGCATACAGATGTTTTGATTTTTTATTTTATTAATACTCGGTATTTAATTTAAAATTGGAAATTGATTACGAATATAACTTATAGTAATCAATAACGTTTATTTTGGTTAATTGGATTTGAATTAAATAAACAGAAAGATTTTTGTTGTAAATGTTTGACATGAAAATAAAAACGAAGCTTTTAAATCCGCACGTATTTTTCTGTCAGCCACCGACCGCAGAAACTAAAAGGTAACCAAAACTCTGAGCGAAATATTAATTACAAACGAGAGATAGCCACATCTGTATTTTATCTGTTATTCAAACTTTGGAACATTTTAATTTAAATTCAACATTGCTTTTTGTCTTATTTGTGTTTTTACGTAAATATTAAATGAGTGGTCAAGAATATTTCAACGTTTTGAGATCAGTCATTGGAAGTCGTTAATTATAACATTTCCATAAGCAAAAACATGTATGTATAAATATTTTCATAGCCCAAACTAGAAATTAATTTACATAATCTATTTTTTCAGTAACTGAGTAACATGGTGCTCGAATTCACTTTAATACTGCTCATACAGAGTGATGGGTGATTCTCAATATATATCACACTATTTTTGTCCCCCGACTCCGTCCGCGCGGAATTTAAATCATCAAAATTGAATATGCCTATGTGTTCTTCCAGACTATCCTCTACATCTGTACCAAATTTCATAGAAATCCGTTCAGCCGTTAAGACTACAAACTCTAACAATCCATCCATCCATCCATCCATCCATCTAAACTTTCACATTTATACTATTAGTATGTAGTATGATTTATACAAGTTTAAGTAATATAAAAATTAAATTTAGTGAAAATAGACAAACGCATATCGTGAACTGACCCTAATCGACTACATTAGAACAAAGATTTACTAATACAGTTTTTCTTTTATCCCTTGCAAACAAAGTCGCGGGCTGCATATAGTGGTATTATAAATTACACCATACAATCGCTACAGCCTATGACAAAGTTTGTAGACTTCTACGTCTCAAGTTCCACTCGATTCTTTTATTTTATATCCGAGCGTTTAAGCTAAAGTGAAGAAAAGTTCCGAAAGCTCTTTACCGCTCGCTTAGCTTCTATTTAACGTATTGAAGTGAACAAATATATTTATCGGAACCAATAATGCTAGACATTTTTCTTTTTGTATTAAATAATGATTTTCAATACATGTTTTTTTTGAGTTTTATTAAATAATATTACACCAGATTTTTATTTTTATTTTCTTCTTAAAGTGCCATCTTCTTTCGAAGTTCGAAATTTCATGTCTTTACATTTGCAAATTACAAAGTATGGCTTTTTATTTATAAATTAGGTAAATAATCAATGACGATTCACATTAGAAAACTTTACTACAATTATAGTGCCAATCATATCATTTCAATGTAATAATTCACGTGATATATTACAGGAAACTTTCATTCAAGATTTTTCATTCCGTAATCATTTTAATAACTTCCTGTGACTAACTTAGTATGTATATGCAATTATTTTATCCGTGATTATCGATAAAGCAATTATTAAAAGATATAAGCTAATAAAAAAGACGTTTTTCATAATAGGTTTTCAAACTTTTATATGATACTAGCTGTTCCCGTGCGACTTCATCCGCATTATGAAAATTTTATTTTATTGTTTACATGTGTCTAATTATCAATTGCCAATGTCAAAATGACATGACATGATGACAAAGCATGGCAACCTTGCTTCCTTGATGTTGACAGCAACCTATGGTCTCTTTTCCACATTAGGGTTTTTATCCAAAATATTTACCCTGTAAGTTTAATGGCGTGAAAATATATAGCCTAAAGTGTGACGTAAGTATAGAGCTTTTTATTTAAACTATTCAAAAATATGCTGTAGTTGCTGACATCTTAGGCAACAAAGAAGTGTGTGTTTACGCTTTATTATAATAGTATAGATAATATCACTTTACAACTTACTGCCTTCAGGGACAGGAGTCACTGGACTCTCCGGTAAGAGAATTCCCTTTTGCACTAATTCATCTCTATTTGCTCGGACGGATATCTTCCTTTCTAACGCTGTAACAATTAAACATTACAGTGATATTAAAAAAAGAACTAGAGTACACAGTATTAGAGCGCGCGCACACCTTTGAATAATCTATCGCACATATGTTTAGTCGGGCTTTAATTTCTATGAGCTTATATGGAGGTATGCACACTACTCGATTTTTAGTTGTGTTACTTACACAGTTGAATTGGGTGCGAAATCGACAATCGCACAACAGTTGTGGAATAGTGTAGTCAAAGGTGTACCGCTTGCACTTAGAATGGTCGTTTTGCATGTCGGGTCGGCACATGCTTTCGTCTTCAAAATCGTTCTTTCATCAGGCATTACATTGATTTTTAGTTAATTAAAATGGATCGTTTTCTCAGGGGTGCGATTTGATGAACTTTTTTTTTCTTTTATTAACAACTATTATATTTTGATACTTACTTCTAGAAGCTGCTTCGAATTTTTCTGATTTCTTTTTCCGTTTCCACTTCCATGGTTTAAATAGTCTACCGAATGCGGAGAATTTTGATTTGGTTCTCTCCGCGGGCGGCGTGCGCGCGCCTGACCCCAAGCTGTTCGTGCGCACCGCTGTACCATTTTGTTTTTTGGCTGCAACAAGGAAAGAACACATGACTTTTTCGTTCAATTTAAGAACTTTGACTTCTGAAAACTCCTTAACTTGTGCAAACTGAAATACCGCAATTTATTTAACGGGTTATAAATGATGTTTAAAACAAATTAGCCGTATATAAGTTTTTTTTAATACAAGGGGCATAGGCAAATTTGTTAAAAATATTACAAAACTATAATCGCTCGTAACATTTATATAATTTTTATGTAGAAATAAAAAAACAACACGGAAACATGATAATGCCAGTACTAACAAACATAAATATGTCCACAGTAAGCACTGTTGTTAATGCGATTAAGTATTAGTTGGAAACATTTTTTTATTATCACAAATATTTTTTTAAATAATCATCGTTTATTGACGTTAAAATTAAAAACAAAAGTTTAGTAACAGTAATGAAAGTAAAAACACAGATACAGTAAACCGTTGATATTTCAAAACACGATAGCGTGACGATTATCGTCACGGTGGTTTCTCATTGGGATAGGCGGTGTAAAGAGGTCAACGTCGGCTAAGCCTCTGATGCACGCATAGTTTGTTTTTGTTCTTTATACAATATCTAGTTTTAAACACTAACTACATATTGTAAACGTAACAGCAATATATTCTTGTATAGTGTAATAAAGCGTCCTATACCATCTGCAGAGAATTATTTGTAATTTTGTATGTAACGAAGAAACTAAAAAAAAAGACCGATATTAAAAATTCTTTCGCCACTTCAAAGCTACATTTTCTTTGAGTAACAGGCTATATTTATTATTAGCTGTTGCTCGTGACTCTACTTCTGCGAGAAATAAAAGTATAGCCTATGTTACTCACTGATAACGTAACTTTTTAATGGCGAAAGAATTTTTAAATAGGTTTTTGAATTATTTCAATACATACAAAAATACAAAACTTTCGTCTTTATAATATTAGTGTAGACTAGATCTTAAATCTTTTTAAGCTTCTCCGCACAAAGTCGCATTCAAAAGCTATTTGATATAACATGAAACCTATAATACCTAAGGGAGAAACATTTCCCGAATTATTGTATTTTTTCTGAATTCAAAGTTTCTGTTTAAAGATATAAGATCAGAGAATAACTTACTGCAGCACAGACACACGAGATAACATAAAGAAAGGAAGTTTCATTTTAAATACACTTATTCAATTAAGGAAAGGATTACCGCAGTGTGCATTCCTGCAAAATTCATGATAAAAATAAACATCTGCTTTATTGTCATTGTATGTGGTAAAGATCTAGCGAAAAATAATAAACAGTTATAGAATAACATTACAATAATTTATTTCAATATCAAGTATAACCCAGTTTAAGTCAGTTAATGTTTTTACAAAAACAGTTTTTCTATAGGACCCCGGTAAAAATTTCGTGCAAAAATTAAATTACGTTCATAATTATTTAAATGCAAAAGTTTATCTGTCTTTTTCGGCAGTTTTGTTTTTAAATAACCGAACATAAAGTAATCACCATAATAATTGAATATTTTCTAGTGCGACCTGAAAAGAAGAACTTAACTGAGAAAGTTACGTATATGATACGTACTAAACACAAAATGTATTGAAATAAACTGAATAAATGTTCGTAAGTCTTGAAAGACAAGACTCAAGTGAGTCATACGACATACCATTAATTACATTTACTATGTGATCAATTATTGAAAGCATTAGAGGGAAGTTGTAAACAGAATTAAAGTAATCTGAAATTATAAACAGTCGCGGTTCGCTTGTAAAAAGTTATCACATAAACAATTGTAAGAACGTCGACAGAGGAAGCAATTCCACTGGTTAAAGGTAACCGCTAATAAAAAATAGAGTAATCTGTAATGAACTGGCGTTCTGAATAGGACGTAGTTGATGTACGAGTACGTAACAGACACATAACACAGCGTGAGAGATTGTAACACAATGCGCTGTACAAGTACGGGTATCGAACGACATCAGTTGATACGGTATGGGTATTGATGCACACACGGACACAATCAGCGGCCCCATTAAGTCGACAGACTATTGTTAAGAAACGTCCGCGCCCATCCCTCACAATGCAGACAACAAAGTCGTTTTACCTTCGTGATGCGGTCGAAGCAACTTTCTTACGTTCATTATTAATTCCGTCTGCCTTTATTGAACTCAATTGAACATTTAAAATTGAACATTGAGCAAACATTTTTAGTTAACTTCCCAAGAGTAGTATCGGTAGTAGTACACACATAAAAATTGTAATAAGATTTTGTTTCAAAACATAAAAAAATTACCCTATGAATTGTTAAAACTAACAACAAATAAATTTATAGTATAATGTCTCACAAAAGTTTTAATAGGTTAAGAAATAAATAATGTATATTACTTCTTTCGTGCATTAACTTTTTTACTAAAGCCCTACCTGTTAGGGTGTTTGCGTAAAAAAACAGTCTCACTGAACCTTTATTGCATCGAACAGGTAGGAAGACCCTGGCCGATGTCCGATTAGTTATGTAAAAGATTTGTTAAATTTAAAGATACGAAAACATTGTTCATTCGTTATGTTATTAAATACATCATTAGTGAACTTCCTTGATTGGACTGGGATGTGTCTTGTGACATAAACTCTGATGAAACTAAATCTAACCTCAACTTATTCAGTGCTAGAAATAGCTAGTGCTCATATAGTTAAGCATCGACAAGGGATAATCAAAGAACATAACGCGACGCGCATATCAATCGGACACAAACATTTAAATGCAAACAACGTGTAAGGTTCTACGACGGCGGTAAACATTCTTGGAAGGAACAATGGATCGTTCGTATTAAGTCAAATACGAATCTTACTTTTAACAAGAATACATTCTCCGTTTATCAGCATAGTAATTAGGTCTCTATTTACTCTACCAGGAAGGTGCCAGTCAAGATAAGTGAAACGACTACAACAAACAACTCATTATTGAGATAATGTGCTAGATTTTTGGTACAAGATAACTCGTAACATTAATAATAGTTGTCAGTAATGAGTGATGTTTACTACGCTAAATACAATATATTTCGAACAAAGCACTTTTTAATTTGGTGTTATTTAAAAAACAAACGTTTACTAAGTTATTCATTGATATTGTTTTAAGGTGACAATATATGATACTTTGAATATTAATGTCAATAGAACAAGCTGACTATAAAGTCCATCGTCAAACGAGACAAAACGAAACAATATTTTTTGTGAAATAATTGCCGCAACATCGCAAGATTTTTCGGACAATGTTAAATTACAATGAGATTATAACTGTGGCCTAGTAAATTTAGTGAAAT